ATACCTTTTGACGAGTGAAGTGTAAACAAGTGCGAAGTTGTGATAGAGCGGAGTAGGAATGGAGGGTAAATATTGATAGATGGGTCAGGACAGAAAGAGGAGTGATAGTCTATTCGTCTTCGGCAAAACGTTGGTCGAGGGATTGACTTAATTTGTCTCTTTCTTGCTTTATACATGGAAGTAGTTATGATAATAATAGGACTGATGATGCCGACTACAATGCCAGCAAGAAGTCTGAGAATGTGCCAAGTCCACGGTCTGACGCTGGGAATTATGATAGCTACTATGGGAGAGGACTTTGGACGGGGCCCTGACAACAAGATCAAGTTACGAAAACGAGGTCAACTCTTTTTTATAGTAGTTTTTATTTTACTTCTTGCCAGTACTACTTGCATTCTATGTTATTGTCTGGTCGGTTGATTTCGATGTCTAATTTCACTTTTATCTGCACATATAACGCAATCAACAAAGCGAAAAGTTTTAGACCATTATCACTTTCTGCCCGTGGTCTGCCAGCTCTGCTTGACAACGCTTTGTCGAATGGGACTAATGGTCTCTCACATGAAAGTGATCATATAAACACATTATTTTATGGCAACCTGATTTTGTTAATTTGTCAGCTATATGTCAAAAGTAGACATGAGAGAAATGAGAAATGTTCCAGTTTCCCTGAAAACAATTTTTATTCCCCACTTCCCCACCATTTCGTCTATCTTTTTGGAGATAATGCACAAGGAAAAAGATAAAAAATCTGGACAGGTCTCATTATTTCTCTTGACTTTTGCTCTAATTTGCTACCTTCTTCATTAATCTGCTTTTCACTCTTTAGCATCCTCAGCAATTCACTTTTGCCATTACCGATCTCCCATTTTAGATGACCTCTTCTCTATGACCAGTCGTTCGTATTCCTCGCACGCACTGGGTCCCGAACCAGCTGATGGTCTTGTGCCGCCCACTCTAAGCTTTTCCAACCTCTCGACTACGCCGCCAACCCCACTGACACGATTGCCTCTTGCAGGTTCGGAATTCTCGACTTCTCACCACGGCAACTCGTCCAGCCGGCTACCAGGCGACCCTGGGGCCCAGTCAGGTGTGGCAGTCTCTTCCGGTCTCCATGCTGGCCAGTCGCCCTCATCACCCCCGTCGTTGTGTGTGCAGGCGTCGTTGCCGTCGGCTCAAGTGGCCGACAAGTCAGACGACGAGACGCCGTGGCATTGTGCCAAATGCACCTACCACAACTGTGGTCTCCTGCCACGGTGTGAGATGTGTGACACAGTACGGCCGCCATCCGCCAACAGGCCGGCAACTCTTGTTGCTACTGCTACTGCTGCTGCTGCTGCTGCTTCCACCATTTCCAGTAGTAATCGTATGGCTGAATTGTTAGTCTCGCCATTGGTCGGCAGACTTGACATTGGTGTGAATGCCTCTAGCCAGCCGGCCCAAGTTGTTCTAGGCGATCCTCAAGCAAATGCATAGCTTCAAAAAGGTGCAGGCGTTGTCTTCACCTGACCTATCTTTCTCTCAATATCTGCAGCCAAACTTTTTATTTTCTGAATCTAGTTCTGTGTCCGTTTGCTCTTCTCATTTCACCTTTTGCATCCATCTAATTATAATCATACATTAACTCGCTACTTAATTCACTGATCCGTCCGTGCATTAGGTCCATTCAATTTTTCACAAATACGCCCGTTCATTTGTCTATAATCTCATCTATGCTCGTTACGAGAACTCATAATTTGTACTTCATCACTCATGCTCTGGTTATAAATTCAATTATGTGTATATTATTGTTATTTTGCTTCCTTGTAACATCCTATTTTGCATTTGATGCAGTAATTCACTTTTTTTACATCGCACATTATTTTTCAAGTTAATAGCAATTTTAGAATAGGATTTAGAATGCTTTTGCAATTTGAGTAAGTTTGGAGACCGACCCCGAGTGACGTGCTTCATTCTATCTCGTCTGTCATTTTTGCCATATTGTTTTGCCGTGGAAATTAAACGATGCTGAAAAACAGGACATTATGACATCTTCCTCGATCTTTCTTTGCATACATAGCCAAATAATACGCAATCTCAATCTTTCAGCTTGTTTTCTTTTTTCCTTTATCATATCTCCCGTGGCTTGTCGTTTTCACGTTGAAATATGTGATATACATCCATGCTGAAATGTCAAACGGTCACTTCTCCTTAGCCCTCGTTCTCATTTTCTATCATCTTTTTTTCTACTTCACTTTTTCATTTGTGCTTAGCCATCAAACCACTTTTCTCCACCTTCTTTATCAGCGATCATCGCACTAGCCATCAAATCTGGATATATACTTCCTGCTTAATTATTTATTTCCATATCTGCATCTTATACGCTTTCCATATTTTCTTCGCGATTCACCATTCCGACCTTCATATTCGTTAAACTCTCTGCCTCCTCGTTTTCCTCTATCCAAACAATCCTTCCTTTTAGACGATATATAGTCTCAAAACCCTACTTATGAACGAAATATCGTTCCTTTTGTCGACATTGTTTTCGCTACTTAGTCATACTGTCAGAAAGACCTAGAGGAACGTACCAAGTTGCGAAAACAAGGTCAAACAACTACTATATAACGGAAGGCGACCGCAGTTATACTAAAGGCCACACCATTTTGGTCTTCTTATTTTGTATTATTCTTTCCCTTATTTGTAACGGTTGTACTCCTATTATTTCTTCCTCTTCTGCTCTGTCAATGTAATGGTCACGGCTTCTCCATTTTTTTTACAATCAAGGCGAGTTTTCATGTATCCAAAGGACCTATTTTTGTTCCTCTGCTCTGTCCATAACTCCACAGTAACTTTATTTCTGAAAGAGTTTGTTTGACCTTTTTTTGCAACTTGGTTATGCTGGCAGGAAGACTTAGAGGAACGCACCTAGTCCGGAGTCCATTGTCTGCATCATCATCTCCAGAGTATGACTGTGGACGTGGTACATTCTCAAACGTTTCGTCGGCATCGTCACTGAGTATCGTCATTTTTAGACCCATCCAACAACTCGTCAAATAGACTTACTGACGATGACGAATATGATGCCGACGAAACGTTTGGGAATGTACCACTTCCACGGTTCAAATTTGGAAATGATTATGCATACTATGGAGTCAGGACAAGTTGCGTTCCTCTAAGTCTTCCTTCCAATATGACCATGTTGCGAAGACAAGGTCAAACAACTTCTTTCCAACGAAAGAAGACTGCGTCCACACAAAAGGCCACACCATCTTGGTCTTCATACCTTTTATTTCTGATAGCTCAGGCTAGACTGGTTCTCTAAGGTTATTTATCTCAAATACATATTCATTTATTAATTGTTATTTTGAGTAAATTCTTAACTTACTTTTTTGCCAGTCTCTAACTTCTAGCAAGCATGCTTGCTCTTAATCTTATGCTCTCGTTTACACCACATTTCAGAATTATTTGATGTTTGCAAAATTTGTTCTTCCCAAAATTTTCTATTTATTTTTAATTGATTTTAGATAAATAAAATTCCGACATTTATAGGTGATACTATTTTCTCATTTTTTTCCGATCATTGCCATTTGTCTGATGATATCCCTGATTGCCATGGCATCATTGTCCCAGATTTATTTTTGCCCACTTTTCCTCCCTTTTCTTCTCAATTACTTGCTCCTTAGAGCA